CTTTATTTCGTTGCCTTTTCATCCCTCTCTTTCGTCTTTACTTATCGAACGACTTTAGGAATTAAGATAGAACATTCTACTTTTTTCTCCCTTCGTATTTTCTTTCCAGTGATTTGTTCATGAATCGATACTCGAATTACGTTAAACGAGATTCCATACTTGACAGAAAAAATATTATAGATCAAGGCTTCTTTGATAGAAAGAAAATTAATCCCTGAAAAAAGAAATCCTTATTCAGATAAAATTCTTGGAAGAATCGTTGAAGTTCCGATCGGAAAATAGTAACGTAACAAAGTAGGTCGGGCAGCTTCTTATAAATAAAACTTTCTTTATTCCACTTCGATGATGAATATTCATGAATAGATATGTAAAACTCTACCAACAAATAACCGAGTTCTTGGATCCAAAGGGCCGTATACTGTAAAGAAAATGTACTTACTTATCTGTTTAATACGGTTTCTTTGACAAAAAAAAAAAAAAAAAAAATATCAAATTATCGTATCAAAAAGAAGAAGAAAATTTTCTTAGAGACGTATCGTTTCCTTTGAGTAAATTTAATATATCCAAATACATCTATCTTTACCTCAATAATTTTTTTGAATTTAAATTCGATTTGTTAATCTTTATAAAAATCATTAATTTCATTTCAATGATTATCATAGTAATAGTCGTAATTATATAAGGACACATTGTGTCTATGATTTCTTTTAAAATAAATCATATTGAAATTTTCAATCGTGGATTCTATGAATGCCCTTACGATTTCTTTTACATATTTTACATACGAGACCAATCTCGAAATTCAATAAACCTCTGCCATTCTTTTTTCCTTCTTCCCTGAATTTCTTGTCGTTTCTTCTTTCTTTCATTCATTCATTCATTCATTCATTCATTCATTCATTCATTCTTTCTTTCTTTTCGTCGTCAAGTTTGTCTAACCGCGCCCGAATTTCATCGATATTCGCTAATAAATTTCAAAGGACGGCAGGAGAACGTTCCTAATCTAACATAAGTATTCAAGATTTTTCTTTTTCTTCTTCTCTTCAAAGACAAGTCTCTTCCTCAAATTACACAAAACGTAAAAATACCAGTCGTATTTCAAATTTGTATTCTTTAGTTTCCTTTATCTTCAAATAAAATTCTAAGCAGAAGAAAAATACGGATAAGGAAGGGAGAGAAAAAGTATGGAAAATGAAAGAAGAGAAATAAGTTCGAAAAAGTTTTCGATATAAACGAAGGTCCGGGAACTCTCCTCGGACCGTGGCAGCGATCTCACGAAATTCTCGAGAGAAACGAGCTGCGGTGGATTTCGAGCGTGGCACCTGTAACAACGGTGATTTACACCCAAAGTAAATCATACAAGATTACACATGGCTCGAACTTCACTTGTCCCTTTCCTCTTTCTATTTTTTTTTTTTTCTTACTCACCTTGAGATATTGAAAAGCAGGTTTGACGAGTGAGGAAGGAAAAATAGCATGGAAAATTTGAGCCCTTGCAAGAGATTTCTTTTCGAAAGAAGAGATATCTCTCTATCTCTTTCTCTCTTTCCATTTTTCCACGTTCCTTCTCTCTTTTTCTTTTCTTTTACTTTTTTTTTCTCTTTTTTTTGCTATATCATCCTAACGCCAAAAGGGGGATGTCCTTTCCGTCTCATCGTATTCCTCTTCTTGCGCTCATTAATCTTCCGAGTCCACCATTTGCTTAAGTTCCATGTGCTAACGCGTTGCCTGAGAAATTGCAGATGCATTGTCCCACCCAGGATGGATCGATCTTATGCAAGAGATAATCGTTTTGATAAATTTCCGTTGTCGTGACGTCACCTACACGAATACTTTAGCATCACGTAAAAGTATAAAAGTATAAAAGAAAAAAACGATGTATCTTAATAATATTCGTGAGAAACATTGTGAATATTTTTTCTTTATAATGTAAATGACTCCGAATAGTTTAACGATAAAAGTAAAAGTCATTTCGTATCTTTTTCTTTTTTGGTTTTTTTTTTTTTTTTCAAATATATCACCTAACTTTACGATATAAAAGTTCCTTATATACACGTGAATTACACAACAGGAGTTTTTAAATCATCGCATCCTCTTCTTTCTCTTTCTCTTTTTCTCTTATCCTCATTACTTTAATTTGGATTTTAGTTGAACTCTTGCGATTCCATCTAAGAAAGAACGCATTTTCTTTCCATCTTGTTTTGGCTCGTTCATGTACCGTCCTTTTAAATGTCCAATTCGAAAGACACACAGGACGGTGATAGAACACGACCATCGTCGTCGAAGGATATAGGGTAGGAGAAATTAAATTAAATTTAGATTAAGTTCAATTAATTAAGCCGCTTCCCTCGTGGGAACTCCACTTCTGTTCCTATTTACGGTCTCCGAAACTCAACCCCCGTGGTGAAAGGAGCAGCGACATACAGAACGATAGGTGATCCTTCTCTAGCATCGGATACGAAATTAATTTCTAAAACTTCTATTCAAATCTAATCTTCTTTCTGTCCTATCAACGAATAATCGATAATAATTTCGCTTATGTTTTATCGCAACTAAATTTTTTAATGAATCGGTATATGCAAATAAATTTTATACTAGAATAAAAGCTTTTAGAAAATCTAAAATTGTCTACTGTTTTAATGACGATACCCGAAATCTTAAAGATTAATTCGTAACGATCGTTGTGAATGGCAGGTTAAGAGAAATTTCGACGAGATATACGATTACGAGAGACAATCCAAAGGAGCTTTAGAATCGTTCGTCGGTATCGTAGAAAAGAGTTAGTGGCTTTCGTACAATCGATGAGCTTTCGTGCTTTCATACGAACGAGAATAGAATACAGGGTGTCTCAATAATTTTGTTACAAAGCGATACTTTCATTACTTTTAACGATACAAGGAAATACCGAATGTGCGAAATATTTGATTCAGTGGGTCACATTAAGATCCTTATACCATTTAAAAAAATCTTCGATGATTTCGAAATCTTGAAGAAAATAATCTTGAGCAAAAATCGATTTATACGATAATGTGTGTTCATTTGAATCAAATAGTTACTTCGTATCATTAAAAGTAATAGAAATATTGCTTTGTAACGGAGTTACTGAGACACCTTGTATATATATATATATATATATATATATATATATATATATATATACACATACAAACATACGTATATACGTAGTTGTAGACTACAGTGTATGCGTAAACTCTGCTATTTAAGCAAGCAATTATGTCGTATACCGTACGATCGTAATGGAAGATCGTAATATGGCAATGGCGTCTGTGCCATTACCCCACCTTATAAATTTCAGGAAATTGGCCGAGCCGTTAATTCGAGAGTTACCGGCTACGCATGGCCGGCAATAATGAGACCGGATAGAGAATGAAAATTTTCGAGAAAGAAGGGAACAAAAAATGACTCCCTCCTATGAGTCTCCACTCGCCCTCTTTCGAGCAGCACGTTCGGTCCAACTAGTTTACGCTACCTTTGCAATTGCAATTTGCATAGGCTGCACACGCGTCGGTTCGATCGTTATTTTCGCGAGCACAGCAACAGCAGCAGCCTCGCGTTGATTGCTTTTCTAGTGAAACCAAATGCAAGCGAGTTTTGCGTTAACTTTTCACGATCTATGAATCGATCGTCGCTTTTATTGAAATTTCCGAGATACAAAAATTTTTTGTCCTGACTCTTAAACGCATGTAGTACAAACGTTTCATCGTTATAAAACACATATACCTTAATAGAACGTAAATAGTGTCTTTTATCGGGTAGATTTTATGTAGGTGAATTATACCGAGTGAGTTTTCATAACTCGGAAATAGCTTTGAGGAAAATTGAATTTAGCGCCCTCTCCGATAACTTTCGATACCCGATAAAATTATTAATTAATCCTTTGAACCATCGAACGTTCGAATTTAATTAAAAATAAAATCAATAATACGGAAATACATACATACATACATACATACATACATACATACATACATACATACATACATATATATATATATATATATATATATATATATATATATATATATATATATTGTACTCGAAATTTTATCTACTTATCTGTAATTCACTTTAGACTGAATCTGGAAAGTACAATTTTCTCCGTACCTTGAAAAACTCAACTCATTGAAAATCGTTTAAAATTATTTAAAAAAATATATTCTATCAATTGCTAAGATTTTTAATTTGTAAAAAGTATTCGATACATTCTTTTTCAATTTTTATAAAAGAATTCAACGAACATCACGCTGGAAGCAATAAAAGATTTGGATACACATATACAATCATTTAAATACATAACAATATTCTTATTATATTCTTAAATAAAAGATACGTCGAAATGTAATAGTTAAGAGACGTTCATTTATTCAAATATATAAGACATCTTATCTGGCTAGAGAAAATTTCACGTCGTATATTCGTATAACGTTTATACGTCATTACTATTTTAACGATGTATTCAACATCGTCGATTCAAGAGAGCATATACGAAATTATTTATTTAAAATGTTATTTAATAGTTTATATTATGGGAGAAACGAATTGCAAGTTAAAATACACTGTTTAGAAAAAAAAAAGCCAGTGCGTGAAAGCGATTAGATGGTTCCGAAGGGAAGAGGGAGAGAAAATCAAAGAATATACAACGCAGAGGACCCACAAGACCTCGAGGGTCGAGATAAATACACTTTCACGTTAATAAACTCTTATCGGTGGTAGCCCATGCGTGTCGACTTAAAGCCACAAACACACTAATCCGCTATGCTAATTTCAGAGCGTGAAAGCGATGGAGTCCTATATAAGCCCTAACCCTTCTTCCTGCAGTTTATACCAATATATTCGCAATCGTACATGAGCTTAAATAAAAAGCTATTAATTAATAAACGTAATATTGTTTCGCCAGTCTATTTCTTTCTCATATATTCTTAGCAATTTCAAAATATTTTACACTTATAATCGCATAAGGATAATCATATTCTTATATATGATTTATAATTGATCGCATTCTTTTTTGTTTCTTTTTTCTTTTTTTTTTTTTTTTTGTAAAACTATTTATGACTATTCGTATTAATTATTTTATACGATACAATAAAGAATTATTGTAGAGAATTAATCATACAATGTTGAGAATATATTATGTGTTATAATATATTATCAAATAATAAATGATAACTGATCGGTTAAGCTTTACGTTTCTTATAGTTTAAATAAAATAATGACAAAGTTTTCAATAGTTATGGGTACCATTAATAAAATACAAAATAGTCTTATAGGATTTCGTTTTTAAGATCAACGCAATGGAAAAGCATCATTCTACAAAATTTAATCGATATATATATATATATCGTTTATTAATATAATAATTAATTATATTAATTATTCGCATTAATTATTATTATATAATAATTATTACGAATAGTCTTATATATTTTTGCAAAGAAAATGCGTTTAATTATAAATCATATATAAGAATATGATTATACTTATTCGATATATAAATATTAATATAGATGGAAAATCCATCTATTATCCCACGTAAGAAATTTCTAATAACTTTATATTTTATTCATTCGATTATCGAAGATCTCTCACTCCAGCTTCTTTCTTGTATAAGACTTTTTATAAAATCCCCAGAACATGTATAACATTATAATTACTTGCATCGTATATATGCAAGCAACAAATTTTCTATTTGGATCGCAAGAAGGCATTAGTGCCTGACCTGTGTGCAACAGCATAATAATGAATTGTATCTGTAATCATATAAACATATTTGTTGAGTAAAGAAAAAAGTAATATATGCGAGTTTTATGTATTGTTTTTGTTTTTCCGTTTAAGCTAATAAATCCTTATAATATAAAAAAATAAAAATAAAAAAGAAAGAAATATTATGAATAATTAAAGATAAATAAGTGAAGCAATTAAAATGTTTTTCTTTCGAAAAAAAAGAAAAGGCAATGTTATTACGAGCAAAGTGCCTTTATTATAGATTTTTGCTTCGAAAGAAAATGCCCGTTGCAATACAAGGATATCGGGATAAAGTGCGATATATGCACCTTCCAGTCGAATGCTCGCCAAGAAAAGCGTTCCTTTTCCGTGAACTTCAAATACAATATGGAAGAAGGCGAGAAGAAAGATCAGGATTAAAAGAAAGAAAAAACGGAAGTGAATTGAGTACAACGAATCGTGAAAACGGAAAATCGAATATCGGATTTCTTTTATAGAAAACACAATGCAAAAATCTGTTTCCGCTTATAATATCGCTTCATTGTTTCTAAAAAGAAAATAATATTACGTTAATACATACTATTTGTAGTTTTGTGATATATTTTTTCACCGGCATAATCTTCTCTGTTACTCCTGGTCCGAGAGCAGACAGTAAATAATAAGTATACATGAATACGTGCACGATACAATTTGGTATTATTATGAAAGTCCACATGCCACCTGAAAAAAATAATCGTTTATTTATATATTCTTTACTCAAAAGAATATAAAATGATTATCGGTTAAAGATTGTAATAAAGATATTCTGTAAAAAAAAAATTATTATCGACCATTAACGAATTCAATTGGAATAATTAATATTCGATAAAAAAGATAATTTTCTCATTAGATAAAATAATAATAATAATAATAATAATAATAATAATAATAATAAAAATGTTTAACTTGAGTAAAAATAATAATCATGAAGTCACATACCTGGAACATATTTACAAGTCATCCATGCCATTATAACTGTCGTACTATGATGATAAATATGAAGAAAAGATGTCTGATTATATTTCTTTCGAAGAACAAAAACGATTGTGTCGCATAATTCGATTACCTTCAATATAAATACTCGCCAAACCCAACTAGCCATCTATAAATCAATAAAGAAAATTATTAATGATCGATCATTCGTCATAGAAATCTTTTTCTCTAGAAAAATTCTTATCTACTTTATAATCAATTAATTCAATTATTTAATAAAATAATTCATATTTTATATCCTTACATAAAAGAATCTGAAATGTCTGAAATGTATCGTGAATTCGTTAATGTAATTAAACATTTATCGTCTGATGTCATTCAATCACGATGCTGCTATTATTATTATTATTATTATTATTATTATTATTATTATTATTATTATTATTATTATTATTATTATTTTTATTTTTATTATTATTATTATTATTATTATTATTATTATTATTATTATTATTATTATTATTATTATTATTATTATTATTATTATTATTATTATTACTATTTATATACATTACTCACCCTAAGAGGTTCGGCATCATAAGATATACTATAAGGTTCACATCCTAGAGAAAGATTCGTCGTAAAACCCGACGTTAGAATCTACAAAAGGAAAAATATCTTCAAAAATATATTCATGTATATTTAAATATGATGAAGTTGCTATTTTCGTAATTGTATATTACATAAACCTTTAATGTAAAAAAATTTAACTTCACTTACTCCATAGCATGTAACTCCACTTGCGATAGCTAGCAGACAATTATAGACAATCAAAAAATTCTTCAGTTTGTAAGGTTTCCGATGTTTCATATAACGAGGTCCAATATGAAGAATGAACTCTAGATAAACAAGTAGGATTAACATCATTGGAAACGGATCTCGCATCAGAGGGAAGTTTGCCACTCTGGGATCTAGAATGAATGTTTGCAACCATTAGAATGTTAGAAAATAAAAAATCTTAGAAAATTATTAAACTGTCCAACTGGTCAAAATGTTGAAATGTATATATATTTAAATTGTTGGTATTATATATATTAAAGTATTGCAAAATTCAAGATCCAAACTATACAAAAAGAAATGTTAATAATAACAAATTTAAAAATCAACTTTACATTTCATACTAATTAGACAGAAGATCATTAATTCACCATAAAGGTACTATTGTATTTTTACTTTGTTCTCGTTTAGTTCTTATTTGATTGTTTCTACATCTTGTATATTTTAAGATAAAATAATTTTGAAAGAAAAGTGTTTTCTATTGATTTATTTTATCAATTAAATAAAGTGTCTCAGTTCACTTCATATAATAATAATAATAATAATAATAATAATAATAATAATAATAATAATAATAATAATAATAATTATAATAATAATAATAATAAAAAGGAAATAATTAAAACATTAATTCTCTTTGAATATATTGTATTTTCTTTAGATAGGAAAAAAATAGGTAGAAAAACTTTGATGTTTATTTCATCGAGTAATATTTGAAAAGGTTTGGACCATCGATTTTGAATCATCCTGTAGAAATGAAAAATATTTTAAACTACGAATACCGTTAACGGACAAAGTAATTCTACTAATAAAATAAAATAAAATATTTAATATGTTCATTCACCTGCTATCTCCTCGAAGAGGTAATTGTAAGCCCTCGCAATGTCCATGTTCTACCGTTCAAGTTCGCCAAGAAAAGAGGAGAATGATGTCCGATGTTCCACAGAGCCAAGCAACAACAGTAAAAATATCAACACTGACCAACAGCGTCGCTCGTTCGTTCGCGAATGAATATAAGAAGAAGGAATGAGTGTGTCCGTTGTAGAAAAAGGATACCGGTGCAACGGCAATCGTCGTCGATGGTAGTCGACGAGAGAATGATAGAATAACGAGTTAGCAAATATAGATAATATATTGCAAAGTCATGTACTTCTAAAAAAGAAGCCATAATTCGTACCATCCTTTCAAATCTATCTCGATATAAGATAAAATCAAGTGAGATTTGCTGAAATAATTATTTTATTTTAATTTCAAATATCAATTTGTATTTTAATCGATTTTAAATGCAAAGAAAAGAATATTTAAAACGATATGAAAAAAAAAAAATACAATGTGTCGATGCAATTTGTAATCTCCAAACATTTGTTTTCAACGTTATATCTTTCCCCTTATATATTTACCGAGCCGAACAAAGAGAAATAAATGGAACGCAATTACATTTAATGTGTAAAGTTTTTATACGCTTAAAAAGAGTCCTATGTTAACCTTCATTAGAAGTTTTTTCTTTAAAATCTTTGTTAACTTTCATTAGAAGTTTTTTCTTTAACATCTTTTAAAAGTGGGAAAAAAAAATACATTTACTGAACTAACTATTGTTATCATAGAATGATAAGATCGAGGACAACATCGCTCGTTAATGAAAATCTACTAACTTCGAAAATCTCATAAATTCGCATAAAAAATAATACAGAATTCATTTCTGAGATAAAACTTATCTATATATACAGATAAACGTATATTAACGAAATCCTATATAATACCTTAATATAAATATAATAAGCTATTCATAAATTAAAATAATAGAAATTCGCATAAGATTGTCAGTTAAAACGCTTGATGAATTACAACGTAATATAAAGGATTAAAAGATTCGTAATGTTATGAGATATTTCAATTACATCTTCTAACGTAATAAAATATGTTTAATACATTCTATAATATGATCTTTAAAATTGATTCCATAAAATAACTATTACCATTAAGTTATCTGTCTGGTTAACAATCATGTTATGCTAAATTATATTAAAGAAAGTGAGAAGATGACCATATAAAGAATAATAATAATGTAGTGTACTTTTTACATTTAACATAGAAATATAAGGATAATAAAAATATATCCTTATTTATATATCTACATTATGTATTTATATAATAAAAACTTGATTATAATTTAAATGTAACGTGGAGTTACGATCTTCTACTATTCAATGACTATTCTAACAAAAACTGATAACTAGCTCGAGGTATACATAACTATCTATTAAAAATCTCTCGAAAACGAAATTGTATTCGCCTACGATGATCAAAATTATGAGATGAAATTTGTTCTTGAACTTTTCATTCCAAAATTAGTTCTTACGATACATCTTATAAATTTCTGTAGAATACTTTCAAATTCCATTCACGTATTTATGAATATATGAGAAAAAAAGGAAAATAAAATAAAACGACCTTTACTAATATTATTTTAAATATTTCCACATACCTATTGGCAAGTAAAATTATTTTTTTTTAATTTAACTCATGTTCACGAATATATATATATATATAAAGAACAAGGCCGAATTTATAGCTATTTACTATTGCATTAAGACAAAAACGTTATGTAAAATATGAAATTAACATTTCAACGTGATAAAAAAGAAGATAGCGTTAAAATAACTCTTTTTTTGATACAATGAAAATATATAAAACAAGTATCTACTGCGAGAAACGATAGATGCCGAAAATTTTATTTACAATAATATTTTTCCACGATTCGACATTTAATTCATATTAATAATAATTCAGATTTGACATTAAATCAATTAAATCAATGTTAATAACTCGATTGCACGGGGAAATTAAATGTATTTATCAACATTCTGGAACGATTAAATTCGAGGTTGTGTCTGTTTTAGTTAACCGCAATCGATCGATGCAGTCCAATCTCGGCACTTTGTCTTCGAATTCGTTAAATTTCTCAAAGGTAAAGGATTACTGTGTTATCAAAGATAATAAAATTTGATCTCTAAGAATTTGAACGGAGAGATCATTTTAACGATGATCTAGAAAGTCTACGATGTGCGCAGGTTTATGGAAAAGGGGTGAACCAAATGAAAAAAGAAACTAAAATGACGCACCTGCGATCCGCAAGCCGGGAAACTTTCCGCATCTTGCGTTTCAATTCTATAAATATCCGATGACATTTAAACTATTATACGAAATATTTTACTTTCTATTCGCGTATGCTGACGTTATCGCCGTCTTTCAGGGCACTAGACTACTGTCCAACTTACGTTCATCCATAGGGCAAGCACCCCTAGTAGAGACTTATGCTCAGGAGCGTAACAAACTAGCGCGATACCACGTGCAATATATACGATTCCAAATAATTATAATTTCATTTTATTCGATCGCTACTCTTTCTTTTTATTATTTTATTAAAAGATCATACAATATTTAATAAATCGATTTATCATTTATTTTAATCTTTTTCTTATTATTTTTAAAATTCTTCTAAATTTTTAATAGAACCAATCCAAAAATTATATGGTTATTTAGAAAGTACTTCGTTCCACTTAAATTTAATTCAAGGCAATAACAATTGTTATTTATATCTTTTATCACACGTTTAAACAGTAATTATTTTTTGAAAATAACTTGCGATATTTGCTAATTATTGTCATTCGTAAGTTAACGTTACTGTTTTTTGAAAATATGATGAAAATAAAATGTATTATAACTAAATAAATAATCAAATTGGAACATCTGTTTTAGGTCAAATCATAAACGTAACTTATGATTGTACAGACAAGTCAAGGCCGTTTTTCTGCAATTAATCTTCGAATGAGGTCAACATGTTCCATTTTAACGTCGTTTAATGATCACGAAATTCCGTGCATGCTTTTAATCTTTCATGCTCATAATTACCGAATTATTTATCAAATTAAAAATAATTAGGAATCTATTGTTCGTGAAAATTAAAATGAAACTTTCAAGTATATCTTGAATAATCCAATTATCGTATATTTTCTACTCGTACTGCACCAACATATAACAATTTCGCATAAGCTAATGCAGTAATGAATAAATTATACTTTCAGACCTTTTGAAGAATCACATAAATACCATCGGACGTTAAGAAATTTTTATGAATTTTACACGCGGCAATAATAAAATAATATTATTACTATCAATGTATATCGGTTAAAAAAAAATATATATATATATATATCGATTAAAAAAAAAATATGTCTGTGAAAAAAAGTCGCAAGTATATATAGTTCGTGCGCCATTGCGCTAACGGATCGTGCCAACAACAAAAATAAAGCAATTAACTGAAAGTAATATCATGAAATCCAATGAAAAGCAAACTCATCAAAGTCTATCGAAATTAATAATTGACATGAAAGAAGTCTTTCGTTCCTTTTATATTAAGTCGATTCGCAAAGTTTACTGGTATCACGAAAAATAGGTCTTTCAAATCGATTATTTCAAAGCGAGCTATTACATGTATTGCACTAAAAAAAAAAGAGAAAAAAAAAAAAGAGAGAAAAAAAAAGAAAAAAACGAATGAAAAAGTGTCACTCATTATTGGCATTATTTCCTTTTACGAGCACTCAGAGATCTACCATAATGTTGTACAGTCATGGAAAGTCAGTATGAGCAAAGTAATATGAATATATGGCTTCCCTGTGTGCTGTCAGTCGTATCAGGATTAGCCGGCTCGTTCGCATACGACGTGAGGCCGTTAGGGCTGTAGGACAAACGCAATCACGAAATGACCTCCTACCTTAGTATCACGAATTTAATGTGTCTTATTAATAGGACGACCAACACCAATTCGGAATTCGATTGGGGACATATATATCGTATACATGAACGAATATATATATATGAATTATTGATCTTTGTCTTTGAATTGTCTATCAAGAAAGCTTAAGAAAATATTTGTATTGTATTTTAATATCGTGTGCCAAAAGCAGCAAAAGTGGATACAATAAAAAAGAAATCAAAGAAAAGCTATTAATAAAATATTTGATTATATATAACCTCATATTGGAATTCACAAGGACTCCCCAAGATTTTCGAGCTCTTCTAATACATAATTAATGTCTTGCATATCTGTTCCAGAATTTTGTACAACGAATCGAAAAAAATTTGGTTTCTCACGTAATGGTTGATAATTGATCATTAAACTACCTCTTTTTGTCATTCTTCCCTTCAACTTAGGAGCTACCTAAAGTAGAAAATATGACTATTTAGAAATATTAAAATAATACAATTTTTAATTTCGCTATAATCTTAATCAAGTTTATAATTTTAATGCAGATACATATATATATATATATGCATTATAAATCTAATCGGTAAGAAATGGTACCTACTTAACCAACAGTTAACTTACAAATTAGTTACTTTATCAACGTTCAAAAATAACTTAAAAAATTTTCTCTATAGATAATATGCCGATAAAATCAATTACTCGTATGTTATAAGAACAAATTTGATTTTCTTATATGCAAAATTTTCTTATTACACTTCTGTATATAAAGAAATTGTATATACATAATAATATCAAAATAAAAAAAAAAATATGTAAATCAATTTTACGCTTACAAACTTTAAATATATTTAATATGCATCACTAACTATCTATATATGTCTTAATTGTAACAAATAAGCTCTATTTAAAAATAAAATTAAGGATGACTATATCTAAAACTACTATTATAAGGTAGTTAATGCTTACTTTGCTTAATTCTTCCTCATAATTGTATATAGAATCCTTATCTTTTAAATGCATAGGAATAAACCAAAAGCATACATTGATGAAACATGGTTGTGTCACTAACTCAAAATGTTTCTTTTTTTCAATCTCATCTTTAAAGAAAGCTGACAGTGACATTAGATGATTAATGTGTTTTTCAAAACCCGATGATCCCTGTAAAAAGAAAGTGTTAATAAAATGGACAAATAATGTAAAAAGAAAAATTCATATTGATCTAAGTAAATAATATAAAAGAAAGAAATGCAAAGCCATATATTATGTGTATGTATCTACTCAATAGCCCATATATGCAAATTCATTCTATAATTTTTCAAGTCATGAATTTTTCTTTAGCTATTAGCTAGATGAATAAAAATACATTTTTTTTTTCTCTTAATTGTTCATATAATTTAAGTACATATTACAATATAAAATTAGATCACTTCTAAAAGAAAGGCAAGGAAAAGCATTAAAATAACTATACCATAGAAATTATATATGTCCATTCATATATTATACTATAATATATATTTTTTCAAAAATGATGTATCATTCTAATTACATCAAATGAACAGAATGTCTCATTTAGCTTAATAAATTCTTACTTTCTTTCATGCAAGATCTATAAAACTTATTGGCCCAAAACACTGCTACCAGCTGAACTCTTGAGAAATTTTAAAACTTCTTTCGGAATCTTAAAAATTCACTGAATGAATAAGGTATGGACAATTCTGAATCCCTACAGGGGAAATTAATATATGCATAAGTACACCAGCAAACACTCTATACAGAACATGCAAGCCCTTTACTTCAACGGAGTTGTTACCTCAACCGTAATGGCTTAAATGCCAAAGTACAAGATCTATGCTTAAAAGAAGGTAGGGGAAAAAAGTGCTATGAAGGCTAGTTTTCTACATATTTGCATAAGTGGTTGCATTCAAAATCTAATACAGGGAAAAAAGAACCACTTCTCTAGCATGCATAAGTCTTAAGTTCGCATCAAAAAAGATGCTTCAAATATATCTGAAAGATGATGCATATAATATACGCTTCTAATCTGATTAAGAGCATTTAAAAGATATTTTATAAAAAAAGAAAAGTTTATAGAAATATTTGAAACAACATGTATAATTTACCTTAGCTTGCCACATAAACCAAAACTTCAAAACATCTGCCCTGCGTCCACATTGTAAATACTTGTCTCCAGGATCTAAATCAGCTGAGTAAAATTTATCCTTTTGAAACAAATAAGTAGCTCCCTTAGAGTGTGCTTTGGTTAAAATATTATCGTGCTTTGTCAAAAATAAGGAACACTGTTGTGGAACGGCCAGTAATTTGTGAGGATTAAATAATATAGAATCTGCTCTTTCTATTCCTCTTAAAAGACCACAATGTTTTTTACTAAATATTAAACCACCACCCCAGGCTGCGTCGACGTGTAACCATATTTTCAAATCCTGACAAATTTTTGCTATTTCGATCAATGGATCGAAAGCACCCAATACCGTCGTTCCTAAAATTTGGAAAATATTGTCGATGATCGTATACAATTATTAACATCATTTCATATTTATTAAAAAAAAAAAATTAATTACCAGCTGTAGCAATAATCATAAACAAAGAACTGCCTTTTTCTTGTTCCTGCCGAATACAGATCATTAAATCATCAACGCTCATTCTACCTAAATCATCCGTTTTCACGAGAACGACATCTACATTGCAAAGATTTGCCCATTTAGATACCGAATAATGAGCATCTTCCGAAGCAAAGAGAATTGGCTTCACTATTAAATCCTTGAAGAAAGATGATTATTTTTAATTTCCATATTTCTTTTATACAATAGATGAAAACAGAATGATTACCTTCTTCTCACATCTATAAGAAAATCTTGCTAAATTGATAGCTATTCCGTTCGCAAAAGATCCACCTGGGCAAAACAATGCATCACCAAATTCACATCCATTATCATTCTTATAAAACATAGACAATAACTTTCTAGTTAAGGTTTTCTCCATTAATGTTAATACGGGTGCTACTTCGTACGTGTATACTGAAGCATTTAAGGCATCAGTCAACCATTGTCCTGCCAAGCCATAAGGATCCAATCTATACAAATAAATAATTATTAATCATTAATTAGTAATTGACAAGAAACTTTTTTTTTTCATTTAATTGACTTGATTATATTGGATAAGTGTAACATTGAAATCATGAATAAAACTTACCCAGAAAAAAGTTGATTCATAAAATATGGATGGCCAGTTTTAACGCTATATTTCAATATTTTATTTGCCACCAATAAAAGATCTTTTTGTGATTTTGGTTCTTCTAACAGATCAAAATTCAAAATTTCTTGCAAATAATTTGCATCTCTCCATCTTGAGACAGGATTGTCTCGCAATACACTCTCGAATGCGAAATCAATTAAGATAGCACTGAATTTCTCGAGAAATTCTCTATGCTTATTTTCAGAAGGTATACTACGCCAATCAGACATGAATGATTCGTTGAAAATTATATCGAAAAAAAGAAAGAAAAATGGAATATCAGACCGTATACAAGGTCTTATAAATGTTGTATAACTGAACGACGTAAAATGAACTGAGGCATTTTTAACCAAGCTTTGATATATATATAA